TGATGAACTGGTAATCAGTCTTGGCATTTACAGCAAAGTGCCAAATACCCATGCTCTAAATTCTTCTTTGAATTATATATAACACAGCGCTTTCAGATTCATCTTTTCACCTTTCCTTACCTGTCATGCATATTAACAGGGTGTCCGTGGGGTTTTAAAAAGTATTAAAAGGTAGTAAATCACATAAGCAAAAATTAAAGCCATTAAAATGTATTAAAAGGTATTACACGCAAATTTACGAGGTATTAAATTTTAGATTTAGATTTTTTTCATAGTCATCATGGGTACGTGCAAATTTGCACGCAAGTGGTTAGAGGACCCGGCGTTTAAGGACTGGCTAAGGCCGGTAGCAGGAAAATATCGAGAGGGTTACTGATCGGTTTGCAAAAAAAAACCCATAAATATCACCTGGATGGGGGTTAGCGCCCTCTGGTCGCATATGCGATGCACAACTCATAAATCAGGAATGCATGGATGAGAGCAGTTAGTCAACTGCTGCAAATCGACAAACTCATTGAAGAAAAAGCCAAATAATTAAGGCACTTGCCATGAATAGCCTAGTGGATAAAGATATGGACTTGTGACTTAAGAAGTTAAATGCAAGATGTTTTCAAAATCACAGTCACTAAATTTATTCTGTTGACCCCTGTTCCCTATTTAAATTCTGTTGAACAGGCCAAAATTGTGTAACATTATAAATTTTTTAATCAGTTTAAAAACGGTTGCAACTCAATACGTGCGGGTTTTAAAAAATATTGAGAAAGTATTAAAAAAGGTATTAGAAAGTGTTAAATTTAACCCCTGGATTTCTGTATATACCCTGATTAAGCAACTTAGATGTAATTTTTCACTTCCCAGTTGGTTGCCTGAATTTCAAGTATTTAGTAGTCTTCCTTTCTCATTTCCTAATAAGTATTCATGGATCAAATAATTAACCACTTTTGGTTCTGAATTTACTTCCGAGATGAAGCTATTATATCTGGATGCAAGACATAATTGCAAATTGTTATTATTAATTATTATTAGGCCCATAGTTCATGTCTGTTGTTTTCAATTATATTGTATTCAAATACTGTTTCATAGTGTATAGTGGATGCAGTTTTTTTACTTGAAAGAAAAAGAAATTAACCTCTCACATCATGTTAAAAATACCAAATACTCATTTTAACTGAGATGACTGCTGATGGTGGTGATTTTCTCCTGTGCCAAGGTGGAATTTTTGGGAGAGGAGGGCACTGGACTTGGGCCCACACTGGAATTTTATGCACTTGTGGCAGCAGAGTTCCAGAGGACCTCTCTCGGCATCTGGCTCTGTGACGACGACTTCCCAGATGACGAGTCTCGACAGGTTTGCTTTATTTGCCAAATCTAATGCAGTATTGCAATGTGGTCACCTATATGGAGGGGACCAGAAGCTTTATTCTTTTCATAAGAAGCTCTCCACCTATAGAGAGGTGTTGTGGTACCCTTTAGAAATTATTTTTAAGATAAGAAACAATATGTTACAAATTCTCCTTATCAGGTCATTTTTATTTCAGTGTAGTAACCTTTACAGTAATTAATCATAAACCAGTCTGAGGTGTGCTTCAGCCTTCTGTGTTACTTTACAGGTGGACCTGGGAGGGGGTCTGAAGCCTCCAGGCTACTATGTACAGCGTTCCTGTGGCCTTTTCCCGGCCCCCTTCCCCCAGGATAGCGATGAGCTGGAACGCCTGAGAAAGCTTTTCTTCTTTCTGGGCATCTTTCTTGCTAAGTGCATCCAGGACAATAGACTTGTGGACTTGCCTATTTCCCAACCCTTCTTTAAATTGCTGTGCATGGGCGACATCAAAAGCAACATGAGTAAGCTACTGTACCAGTCTCGTGGTGAGGCCGACCTGCACTTCAGCGAGATCCAGTTGGAAGCCTCCACTGAGGAGGGCCATGACACCTATTCAGTGGGCAGCTTTGATGAGGATTCCAAGTCAGAATTCATCCTAGACCCACCTAAACCCAAGCCCCCAGCCTGGTACCATGGTATCTTGACCTGGGAGGACTTTGAACTAGTCAACCCCCATCGGGCAAAGTTCTTGAAGGAGATCAAGGAGCTGGCAGTGAAACGCAGGCAAATCCTAGGCAACAAGAGTCTGTCAGAGGATGAGAAGAACACTCGTCTGCAAGACCTTGTGCTGAAGAACCCTACTGGCTCTGGACCCTCTCTGAGTGTTGAGGACCTGGGGTGAGTTCTGCCTCTTGTTACCTATTTTTACCAGACATTTAAATATTGACAAGAGAACCTCCTACACTTTGTCATAGAGGTACATACACTTGCTCAATGCAATCATAAAATTAATTAGCAGGTTACTGTTTTAAAAAAATAATTTCAACTCATTGCTTATTTTCCAATGTTTTTCTGCATTTTGACATTGGTGCCTTCATGTCAGTTGAAATCATTAAGTGGCTTTAACCTCTGGCCCAATTTTGTATTTTTGCATGTTTTTTCATTGTCAAAAAATCTGCCTTCCATACTTAGCAGATAATTCCAGAATTAAAACATGTAAAATTGCTAGTGGAAATAAAGAATGGTGCATGAGTGTGCCTTGAGGTTGCCTTGTGCCCGTAGCCTCCAGGATAGGCTCTGGACCCCCGCAACCCTGAGTAGGATAAGTAGTTACAGAAAATGCTATTTGCAGTGATAATTGCAGTGATAGGATTGTAGTATCATTGTGTGTGTATTTCTGAATTTAATGCCAAAGAATTTAATTGTTAAAGAAATATATTTTATGCACACACACATATATGACATAATCGGCTGAAAATTAAGCGATACCTGTGAAACCTGTAACAAACAGCTGCTGGAACAAGTGGGAATACAGCAGTATCTGTCTTACTTAGATGTACCTTACCTGAAATTGATTGATGAACTGGAAATCAGTCTTGGCATTTACAGCCAAGTGCCAAATACCCATGCTCTAAATTCTTCATTGAATTATATTTACCACAGCGCTTTCAGATTCAGCTTTTCACCTTTCCTTACCTGTCATGCATATTAAGCAACTTAGATGTAATTTTTCACTTCCCAGTTGGTTGCCTGAATTTCAAGCATTTAGTAGTCTTCCTTTCTCATTTCCTAATAAGTATTCATGGATCCAAAGAAAATGAATATTTTAACCTTAAATGAACCAAGCATATACTATATTGCAAACTGCAGCCTGGTTCTTCTATGTTTCTCTTTAATGAAGGGGTTCTTTCTTGCTTTATGGGACTTCAGTCCTGCTTTTAGGAGCCTGATACAAACTGTTGTAGCAGTGCACTTCACATCTGCACTTAATGTTTCCCATTCCTTTTGAAGGTCACTTGATGTCATCTTACAGTTCATGAGGCATTGTCGGATAAGTTTAGGGTCATCTCTGGTATTAGAAAGTTGCTTCCTCCCTTTAACTTGGCTGGTTTCTGGTCTTTCCCAGTGTCTCCAGCTTCACCTTATTCTTCTGTACTGCAGAAATTTTGATCCTGGAAGCAACCTGCTGCTCATTGTAGCCTTCTGCCAGCAGAATCATGATTAAACCAGGATTTAAAAATGCAAATTTGTTTAAAATTATAGACTGGTCTCTCTATATTTTTTTTCAGCAGCTTTACACACAGAAATACACACAAACAGACATTTGTTCAGTTGTCTGAGTTCAGTTATTTGTTGTTTTTTTGGAAATACTGAAAATTGAATAGTTTTTTTTTCTGCTCTAGATTAAATTTCCAGTTTTGCCCATCTTCTAAAGTGCATGGATTTTCAGTTGTAGACCTGAAGCCCAATGGAGAAGATGAGGTAGGGAAGTTGTCCAAGTACCACTTCTGATCCAAGTTATGGTGTCTTCTTCTGTGGTCCAAAACTCCTTATGTGCATCTATTCCAGATGGTGACCATGGAGAATGCAGAGGAGTATGTGGAGCTCATGTTTGACTTCTGCATGCACACTGGGATCCAAAAACAAATGGAAGCTTTCAGAGGTCAGTCTTCTTTCCATTACACACACAGCAGTCTTTATGTGTGCACTGACGTTTTTGATTATACCTTTATTTGCAGCTGAACTGTTGATGTAATAAGTTGCATGCATAGTATCACTTTTTCTGTGTAGTATAATGTGCATCATTTTCTCTTGGAAGATGGCTTTAATCGTGTGTTCCCCATGGAAAAACTGAGCTCCTTCAGTCACAAAGAAGTGCAGATGATCCTGTGTGGGAATCAGTCCCCTTCCTGGACCTTTGAAGATGTCGTAAACTACACTGAACCTAAGTTGGGTTACACCCGAGACAGGTATGTAGAATGCTCATATCAGTGGCCTTCATTTGTTCAAGGAAACATAATAAACATGTCCTCTAGTCCAGTGACACTTAAAACTGTCTTTTAATCATCTTTTTTGTGTCAACACCCCTTTAATCATGGGGAACACACCCCAGTTGGCAAATTTTATGTAAAACTGCATTCCTGGAGGGCCAGAGCCCTGTGTAGCTTAGTTCTTTTCCTGTTCCACCACAAATGATTCAGCTCAAGAGCGACGTGTTAATTAGCACAAGGTGTTGAATCAGGTGTGTTAAATGAGGGGAAACCCAAAAATGTGCAGGGCTACGGCCCTCCAGGACCAGAGTTTGACACCCATGAAACAGAGCATCTGCTGTTAGATCAGTGGGTTGGGAAAGAGAGGGGTCACAATTTTTTTTTTCCCAGGCAAAAGTTTTGGAACCATTGCACGAATCCCCTTTGATGCAGAGCACCTGGTCACAAGGCTCATATTGTAGTAGAACAAATGTAATGTTAGTGATTCTGTATGAGCTTGGTAAAGCTGTTTGAATTTCTGTCTCAAAGATGCAGTAAGACTTACTACATGTACTAGTTGTACTTGTGTAATGATGTCTATACCCAGCTTTTCATGATCGTAACAAGTGCTGAAATTGCCTTTCAACAGCCCTGGGTTCCTGCGCTTTGTGCGTGTACTCTGCGGCATGTCTTCAGATGAGAGAAAAGCATTCCTCCAGTTTACTACAGGCTGCTCCACTCTGCCCCCTGGTGGTCTTGCAAATCTACACCCCCGGCTCACTATTGTTCGGAAGGTATGAATGAATTCTTTGATCCAGGGCACCTTAGATACCCCTGACCAGTGTGTTTGCTGGGTAATGACATTTATTACTGCAGATAAATGGAATTTAACCAACTCTGTTGTACTTCAAATTGACATTAAATATGTAATTTAAAAGTGAAAAGCTTGCATAAGAGTAACTAGTTATGTACTTGGATTGGACATATAGTTCAGCTTTGTGGACAAGGCACTGCTTTTATATAATACAAATCCTTTGTTCTCCATTTTTTTAATTTATTTTTTAAACTTATTCAGTCATTTTATGTAAAAGTGTATTTTGGATAGATACATCAGCCAAGTAACAATTACATGTGCAACAGGAAATATACCATAGATGGAAGTGGCAGGAAAACATCACCTTAAGATTGCTTTCTGTTTAGCATTACTGCTTTTGGGAATTTTATTTTTAAATAATTGTACTGGGAACACAAAATGTGGTCTCTCTCTAAACAGGTGGATGCGACAGATGCTAGCTACCCATCAGTGAACACATGTGTGCACTACCTGAAACTACCCGAGTACTCATCTGAAGAGATCATGAGGGAGCGTCTCCTCGCTGCCACCATGGAAAAGGGCTTTCACCTGAACTGAGCATCTACACAAATGACAGAACCTCCTTCAAAATGGTGAAGCCTATAGTGTTTTGTTGCAGAAAAAAACCTGTCCTCCAGACTTCCTATCTGCTCCCCCATTTCTTTCTCAGAGCTTTTAGAAAACAGTTCCATGTTAACTCTACTAGCTACTGATGAAGAGCAAGTGGAGCAACTCATCACGCCACCTTCATCACCAAACCATGTCCCCTTGCACTCTGTGCTGCTTCAAGGGCTTGAGAGACTGGAAGCCAGGGCAGTCCCTTTGTTTTCTCTAGCATTATGCTTTTATCCCCTGGATGTGAACATCTTTGCTAAGTTCCACATAGTTCTCTGGGTTGAACACCGGCAGCTTGTTCCGTTACTTTCCTCAGTGACATGGGGTTGCTGGTGGATGTCAGGCACCTGCTTCTGTAGAGCTGTAACTAGAGTGTTTGGGCATTTCCTCATCAAGTTTTACTAGTGCCTGCACTGTTTGAATATTAGGTTTATTTTCTCTGTACCTTACCAGCATAACCCCCTTTTTGCTTTTGTTTCCGTGTGAGTACATTTTGGTTGATTTACTGCCCTGCAATGAAGTTAAACCCCGAGTGCATTTGTGTAATTTTACAATAAAGCTATAGCAACAAAACACTGGTTCTGGGTGCTAGGCACGTTTAAAAAAAAATGAAAAAGCAAGCTAAGCTTTCCCTTGTATTTTCTTTGTATATTATAAACACTTATTTAACTCGTTGCAGTTTGAATTAAAAAAAAAAAAATATTTTCAAATGTGTATGCTCCAAAAGTAATCATTAAAATGTTTGCAGTATCAATCCTGTTGTCTTGTTAATAAGCCTGAAAACTATGTTTGGAATTATGAACCAACAAAGGCTATTACTCAATTTTATTTATTTCCAGATTAATATATGTAGCCAAGTAGCCATGCAAATGACTTTGCACTTCAGCTCTCATGCTAAGTCTCTGCCACTTTATCCAGAACCAGTAACGGAGTGAGGATGCTGGTCTTATTGGTCTCCACAATATGTCCATTCAGAATCATCTCATCCAGGATGATATGTACTTTCTCCAGGTTGAACATGATCTGATGACCTAAAGTTAAGACTAGTCACAGCCAGAAGCATTCCCTCAAAACATGTGTAGTAATAGAATTTTATTCTATTCTTTAGAAAAGTGTTAAACATGATAAAATATAAACAATCATTTGCTTGGGTTCTCTTGTTTTGAAAAGGATACATCCAGCTCACTCTGGAGGGGAGAAAACATTTAAATCTGTTAGACCTTAATATTTATACACAAGATCATCCTGCTTGTTTGGATCTTTAATGTAAAATTGTATGCAGTATTAAAGACTACAGACAGTTGCATCTTTAATTTAAACCTTCATGGAGGTTTTTGTTCTGTTTTAAATTAGACTGGAACTAGCTTGTATTTATATTCTTTAATCGTGTTCATGACTCTGTGCAAAAGTCATCATTCAGGGTTGATTTCAAGATTTAGTATACTTAGCTCATGCCCCACTTGCCTTTGTGTAACAATAAGCTTTTAACTTTCATAACAAACTTTTAAGCCACAGTTTCAAAAGGGGCAAGATTCACAGTATTCTAGATTAACTCAGACTAATAAAACTTGGAGTATGTACTACAATAATCACTCCATAATTTTATCTAGGTCATTCTGCACAACTGCTGCTACATAAGAACATAAGAACAAAAAATTGTTTTAGTGTAGCGGAAGCTAAAACCATGGGTTCCTTTAAATCAGAGCTAGATAAGATTTTAACAACTCTGAGCTATTAGCTATTAGTTAAGTTCCCCCCAAACGAGCTTGATGGGCCGAATGGCCTCCTCTCGTTTGTAAATTTCTTATGTTCTTGTATCCATGTGAAGTATATTAAAAATATATTTTGAAACTTACATCCACACTGCCTATTCATTAGAATGTTATTGTCTGAAAAGTTGTGCTACTGAATAAAATCAGTCTAACTTTTTATGCATGGCCAAACAACATGAAAGATGTGGCCTATAACATACACCTAAAATTTAGTTCCTAAAGATTTTTGTCTTGCCCAGCTTCACACATACTGTCTTTGCAGAGCTCGTTCCTTGATTTTCTTACTATCCACAATGAAATTGTACTATATATTTACATAAACTGCTGAACAATAAGGTTATATTCAAACTATAGATCTGAAAGTTAAGTGATTTTAGTTTTATGAACTGGCACCATGTCTGTAGGATCAATTGCTCCAAAGTAGGATAATTACAGGATAGTTTAAGGTCTTTCACAGAAAAGCCCAGTGGGGAAAAAATATAGAACTTACCACACGGCTGAAATACTTATCCAGTACTTCCACAAAATTGTGTACCAGTTCATAAACTGCAAGCTCATTCTGTGCAAGCAAAAGAACATATCACAGACTATTTAAAAACAGATTTCAAATATTTCTTCTCGCTGAAGAATGGCATTTCAAAAAAACTAAGCCTATTACAGGAACAGAAGGGACAGACTTACCAACCACCTTCTCAATAATAGATGTTTCAAACTTTTATTGTCATATGTACATAGTGCAATAAAATTCTCATTTGTCTGCATCCTTCACTGCCATTACAATACTAAAACAGCAATATTTGTATTCCACAAATCATAACTGCCCCATACAAACAAAGAATTGTTTAACATAAACATTAATGCAAAGATGCTTCAATTTTTTCCAATTTGGCCATTACCACCAGTACACCACATCTTTATGAAACATATTTGAATTTTAAAAAGACTTTAGATAGGTATTAAGAGAAGGACAATAGCAATGAGGAACAGACCCCATAAACAGGCCAATATGTGACCCTCTGTTGTTAACACTGGTCCCCCAAGTGTTCTTTCCCAGATTCCTGAAAAGGAATTTTATCTTTCCATGACACTGCAGACCTGCACCATGAAGAATAGATGCGAGGCAAGACATAATACTGTAACTTGAAGTGCTGCAGGGTGTTTTTCAAACATTCCTAATTTCAGTATTTCTTATAGCTCAGGCTTGTGAGGAAGGTGCAGAACATGTTTGTGAACAACTATAATCAATGAACAACAGTGAGTGAGCAGGAAATGGTTGGGCAGCTGGGACCATTGAATTGTGCTGGCTCTCTCATTATGCTACAACCCAGAGCTATAGAATTCAGGCCACAGAAATTCTTCATTGCCTTTAGTTTTTTGGACTACTTAACACTAGGGCTGAGCCATAATGACTTCAAATCAATATTACAATTATTTCAAACCTTTATCTTGATTATGATTAATAAATGCTTATTTATTTTATATGCTTCTTTTTACACTACCCTCATAGTTCTCTGACAAGGTCTGAACTGTAAATATACTGAACTATTAGAGCTGGGATATTTTTTTTTTTTGCATATTTCATGATTTTAAAATTATTTAACGAAACACACAGACAAACTATTTAGGGCTATTTATTAAATATTTCAATTTGCTCAAATCAAAGCACACATCGCTTGAAATGAAAATGTCTTGTGAAAAAGGTCCCATTTTAAAGTAAAAAGCAAATAACCTTAAAATAGGAAATAATCCCTTGCAAACAAAATTTATTATTTTAGATAATGCCATGTGAAAAGTAGAAACTAGCTTGACTCTTGAAAACAAAATGATTTTGAATAATGGCATGTAAAAAAGCCAGTTGAGAAGTGCTGATTAAGTCAGTCATCAAGGTAGTGCAACGTAAGGCTCAAGTAAAGCTCCACCAGAGATCAGAAGTAGCTGCAAAGTGCCATACAGATATTAGTTCACCTTATCACATGTTTTGTACATATTGGGCACCAGAAAGGAGAAATATTTCCATGATGGCACAGTGTATTTTATTTAGATGTTATAGAACATGTACAACTAGGTTTTGGATGTTTTGAAACTTTTCTGGCAACTGTGATAGTCATGTTCCATGTGCTCAACATCAGCCTCAGACAAAAACAGAGGGAATACAGGTGTTGCACCAGACCTTACAACCCACCACAAGTAAACGTTCTGTGTGCAGTACACCTTTTTGCAGGTTTGTTCACTTGACCTGTTTCTTGATGGGTTGGCATGTTTGAAGCATGTGTTTTATTGCCAGCACATGGTGAATGATGAAAAGGAAAACTCATAAATGCATTTTGAAATTGAGAATGTTGCAAAGATTTGGTTTTTCCTTCTTTTTGGTTCTTATTTTATAGGTGAAATTAACAAGTTGGAACAGCATGAACAGTGACATATTTTTCCTATAATGATAAGGTGGTCTGGGTTCCCCAAATTTTCCCACCTGCTTATCCTACTGGGTTGTGGGGGGGGGCCCGGGGCCTAACCTGGAAGCAATGGGCATGAGGCAGAGAACAACCATGAATGGGGGGCCAGCCCATCACAGGGCACACTCACACACCATTCACTCACACCTAAGTGAATGGTTAACCTCAGCATGTCTTTGGACTGTGGGGGGAAACCGGAGTAAACCCCACGATGACATGGGGAGAACATGCAAACTTCACACACGTGACCCAGGTGGAGACTCGAACCCAGGTCCCAGAGGTGCGAGGCAACAGTGCTAACCACTGCACCACCATGCCACCCCTTGGAACATTACTTACAAAACAAATCTATTTTCATTGAAAGTTGGTTTAAAAATAACATTATTCAGGTTGGTCAGTTACAGTAGACCAGATGGTCAGTTATATAACTACTCTGAATTCCTTTCAGTGTATTCCATTTCTGTAACTCCAAAAGAGTGTTTGATGCCATTCCCTCAGTTGTGACAATGCACGCTCATCTTAACATGTTCATTTTCAACATCTTAAGAGGTATAAATTTGGCGTGTTGATTCAGAGGGATTTGATAAGATGGCATTCCATAGCACAACAGTGCTTGGCATTAAATTTATCTCAAAACCCAAACCATATGCGCCTGCGAGCAGAAAACCTATCCTCTCTATATGCTCGCTGGACCTTCTCTATGCGTTCGTCTGCACAAATTTCCTTTGCATCAAATGTCCCTTTGAGTCAATACATGTATGTTTTTGTCTTGTGAGGTGCCTGTTTTAAAAGGCTATTTATTTATTCAAATGTGTGTATTTATTCAAATGTGTGCACACACACACATACAGTGCTTGAAGTGGTAAAATGGTAATCCGGTAATCCCCTTATTCATATGTCGGTCTGTTTATCAGCTCGTGTCAACAAATTCTAACTGTTACATTCTGAATCATATGTGTATGACTCTGATTACCACTTTGAATGTGCAATATTATATCTCTGAAATATGTTAACTTAATGTAAGATTTATTCCAACATTATGACAGAGCGTTAAACTGGGTGTTCTCATCGACTGGTCAGTGATCATCATCTTCATATTCCAAAGGGCCCAGGGAAGGCGTAGAGAGGTTGGGTTTTCTGCATGCAAGCACTAGACCTGTCACGATTATTAAATAATCGTTTGATCGCGATTAATTGGTCTAATCGCGGTCATTACAGATGATCGTTATTATTGCCCACTATTAGAAGACACAAGGGGGCGCTGTAGTACCTGCAGCACTCTACTTCTACCGGTCTCCCTCTGAACTCATTACGCTGAGCAATTACGAGCATTACATTCAAATGATATTGCCCTGTTGGTTTCTCCATCATTTTGAGTTAGAGCAGCCCAGTTATTTAACAAAGATGGATTTAGTTTCGAAGCCGAAAACGACAGCGCCGATCTGGGCACATTTTGGTTTTACACCCGATGATAAAGGACAGCCAAAAGACGTTGACACGGCAGTGTGTCGAATTTGTAGGAGAGAAATACCAGCGAAAGCTGCCAACACCACAAATCTTAGGAATCACCTGAAAGCACATCACCCAACAGAGTTCGCCGAAGTTTTGAAGTCCACAGCCGCTCATACTTCCAGTCAGGTGACAATAGCGCAGGCCTTCGAACGGGTAACAAAATATAAACGCGACAGTATGAAATGGCGCACGCTGACCGACAGTGTCACGAGATACATCGCTAAGGAAATGCAGCCTTTTAATACTGTGGAGAAACCAGCATTTAAAGAAATGCTTTACAACTTAGACAAGCAATATGAATTGCCAGGGAAAACGTATATTTCCAAAACAGCAAAGTAATAAATAATAGAAATAATATATTTTACTTTAGTTTGAGATATTGACACGACAGTCCTTTTTGTGTTATGGTAACTTTATGGTGATTGTTTCTATTATTTATACTTTCATATACATTTACATTTTTTCTTTAAATGTACACATTTCTGAAAGATACATATTTTTCATTTAATAAATTACTTTAATACTTAAAGGCTTTAAGTGTATTAATGTGTTATTGCAAGTGACAATTTACAAGGGATTCAATTAAATAATCACAACAATTTGTATGACAATTAATCAACAAAGCCCTAAAACAGGCAATTAATCGTCAAAGCCCTAAAACAGACAATTAATCATCATGATCGCAATTATTTATTGGACAATTAATCGTCAGCCAAATTTCATAATCGTGACAGCCCTAGCAAGCACATACTCGTGCATGGTTTTTATGTGCACGGGTTGTGAGACTAATTAAACGGCATACTGATCTTGATCCTAGCCACTTCACACTCAGCTGTAAACCATCCCAGCACATGCTGCATGCCCAATTAAGGACCACATCATCTGCAAAAAGCAATGACGCAATCTTGAAGTCACCAAACTGGACCCATCTCCGTCATAACTAGTGATGAGTGAGTCCTCCTCTGAGTCTTCCAGCTCTACTTCCTCCAAGGAAGGCATGTCAGTGGGATTCAGCAGGTCCTTGAAATATCCATTATAGTCAGCTATATCCCCATTTGAGGTCAACAGTGTTCCATCCCTGCTGTAGACATTATTATTATAAGGTTCCCCCTCCTGAATCGCCTGACAGTTTGGCAGAATCTTTTCTAGGCTGATCAAAAGTCATTTCCCATGGCCTCACCAAACTCCTCCCACACCTCGAGTTTTTGCTTCTTCAACTGCTAAAGCCACATTCTGCTTAGCCTGCTGGTATGGGTCAGCTGCTTCTAGAGTCCCACAAGCTAAGAAGGCCTCCTTCTTCAGCCTGACAGCTCTCTTTATCATTGGTGTCCAACCCTGGGTTTGAGGATTGCTACCATAACAAGCAACAACAACCTTAAGGCCCTTAAGGTAATGGGACAAAATTACACCTGAAACACTTCATCACTTGGTGTCTTAAGTCCCTAAAGGTCTTTTAATCGTTGTGAAAAGGAATGGCAACATTACAAAGTGGTAAATGCTTTACTGTTCCAACTTTTTTTTAAATGTGTTGCTAGAACCAAAATTGGAATATGTGTTTATTTTGAGAAAAAAAATCAAATTCATGAGGAACACA